CCAGGCAAGCTTGAAAAATATGCCTGGCCAGGGTGGGAATCAAACCTACGACCTTTGGAATACTAGCCCAATCATAGTAAAATCACAAGCATCATATTCACCTGAGTACATTACACCAACACAGAAAAAAATCATGATTACTAGATTACATTGATATCGAAGGAACTAGATTCTGTTCCGAAATATCACATACTCGAACACATCCTGTCGACAAGTTGTTGGAACAGCATTACTACAAGTCTGCTGCAGGTTTTTTACAACTTGTGCGTTTATACATGTCTAGTTCATCTTCGACGAAGGGCCTTCGCTCGGAACGTCGAAGTTCTCCTTGTACTGATTTTTCAGGTAGTTGTTTCCCCATTAATCAGAAGCATTCTTATTATTGGCACTATATTATATCAGAAAACAAGATTACCCGTGGTTGGAAGGTATCTGTAATTCATCGTTTGGCTATGGAGCTAAGACGATACATGACCCGCTATATCATAAACAGTGACCGAATTCAACCCTACTGATCGGTAGCGGTGAACTAAATCATCGGAATGAGAAGTTTACAGCATTATGTTGAACTCAACTATACAGTCCCTTGCGTGCATGCATTACTAAATTGTAAAATTGATGGTTTTGGTATGACAAGACGTTCGTCAAGAGGCTAGTATTAGGGTTGTTTGTTATCTACCAAGGTTTCTGGAAAGAATGTACCGGTATTTGAAACAAGCGCATATATTGGTTGGCCCAATCGGAAAATTTCCGTCATATACAGTACATAATTTTCGAAACACAATCTGATGTTCCATTACACTTTTCGCACGATTTTTCACCAGTCTCAGACTCATAACAATACTCCATTTTAAGTGAAGTGTGCATGATCTATTTTGAGTTTAATTTTGAGTTTAATTTATACGGCAATTTAAATTGTAAACACCTATACTTACCTATTAAATCTGTAACATTAGGTAGAACCTATGACGTTTTGGACAGATATTCTTATTCGATTCGTTTTACCTCAGTGAAAAATCGAACAAAGTTTAACAATAGTCCTATTTTTAACTATTAACAAACAAAATGTTTTACCTCAAAAACATTAGCCATAAGTGTTGCTTCGCTGTTTGCAAACAAATCTATCATGTGTCTCATTTGTGGTCGTTCCTGGAAATGAACGATATTACATTAAATCGCGTACTATCCATGCATGCAGTTGCTAGACAGCTTTGTGAGGAAATATGACAATAAGGCAAAAAAGTATTCTGTTTCTAGTCAGTTTGCATGTCTGTCCAAAATTGACGCGCGCGATTTTTGCAAAAATGATGAGTACGTTTGTATAAACGAATACATTGACATGCTAAATGTTAAAATGTCAAAATCTAAAAAAACAACATTTCACGCGAAAGTGCAGTTAGGAAAAAGAAAGACACAAAGACCAAGCAAATTCGCAAATTTGAGTCCTTGATTAAACATACAACTACGGATAATTCTGCTAACTTTAATGTCGAACAATGCAATACACCGGACCCAAGAGTCACCATTGTTGGCCATGCAGACTTACCCGAAGGTTCCGAAGAATTATTAGATTTTGGACCGAAATTTGTTCCAAGTTCTAGAATCACTAAACATGATGAATTCAATATCAATGTAGAGTTAGGAAAACTGGCTTATTAGCTTATAAGTTGGAAAGAAATTATGAATGCTAACAACAGTGAGAACGTCGAAAGTAATTCCGAAGATAATCTTCTTGATATATAAATAGCAGTCCATTTGACAAGCCTAACAAGAAAGCACCTATAGAATGCGTCTCGTGTCAGTTAGATATCACCTTGAAGGCTTTAAAGCACGAAAAGCATGAACTTATTCAGAAGCACAAGAAACGAACAGTTAAACAAAATCTCAACACCGAGAAAAGGAACACACTCTCCGAACTTGTTAAACTTAAAGATGATATAAGATGATAAGATTCTTAGTTAGTGATAAAGGCGGTGAATTTGTTAAGCGACTCACAAAGTTACACTTTGCCAACCCATCTCGTTATGAGCACCTCAAGAAAGACCAGACTAAGAAGGCGGAAGAAGAAATTAACATAGAGTGGATCGATATACCGGATATATCCGATATACTGGTTAGGACCGATATTGGCGATATTGACAATTTAAAAATACCGATATACCGACATTTCGGTATTTTGCTGCCTAATACCGAATTGAAACGCTATTTCAAGTCAAACTGGCTTACAATCACGTCTAGAAAGCAAAGTTAATTAGATTTACATCACCTTGTAGTACTGAATGATTCAACACTTCGACGCCCAATCGACGGCCTACTAATAATTGCCGCTTAGCGCCGTTAACATAGCTTGATAATGCGAATCTTGTGACATTTGCACTAATAACGGTATGTCCCACATTAATATTTTGTCAAAACTTGATTTTTCTCGACGGTCAGCAGTTCAGTTTGGCTTAAAAAAAAACACGTTAAAAATACCGGTATTTACCGGTATTCTGATGGCGGTATATCGGTATTCGGTATTTGCGATATCGATCCACTCTAAAATTAACGAGGTTTGGCAATACATTTACCTGAAAAACAAGATTGATCAAAAGTCAGCTGAACGTCTTGTTTCGACACATAGTGTATGCCCAGTTATCTACCTGCTTACAAAGACCCACAAACTTAAATCGGTATTGTTGAGACATCTTGACGCTGAAGATATCAAGGTTCGTCCTATCATTTCGGGATGTGAAAGCCCTGCTGATAAAATTTCGTGGTTGATTCACAAGATTTGTGTTCCACTCCTGAAGCATGTGAAAGCCCATTTACCCAACACCGGTGATCTACTGGCAAAGCTTCGAAGCCTAAAGCAAGATGATTTGAAAAATAAAATCCTTTTCAGCCTTGATGTAGTTTCTTTATACCCGAGCGTAGACAACATGGCAGCCGTTGATACCCTTCGCGATTACCTGTACCAACACAGAAGACACCTACAGTTGTATGGTATTCCTATTCCAGATATTGTGCTATTGACCAAGATTGTGCTAAGCAACAGTTGTTTTTCGTGGAGTGGTACATACTTCAAGCAACTACGAGGATTGGCAATGGGAAACCGGTTGGCACCTATATTGGCCATCCTTTACATGGACAGAATAGAAAATCAAGCTATATATATGCAGATACGAGTCTCTCCACCAAACCCTACCACCGGTATATCGACGATTGCATTACAACAGCACAGGATAACAGCGAAGCGAGATCGATACAGGAAATCCTAAATGCACAAGAACCTTCCATTAAATTCGAGATCGAGTTGCCAGACGAAGAGGGCTACCTACCATTTCTCAACACCAAACTTCGAGTAAAAACTGATGGCACTTTGGACACGGCATGGTACACGAAACAAGCAAACAAATGAATAATGATTCATGCATTATCTCACCATCCGAAATCAATGAAGATTGGAGCTATTGAAAACACACTGAAAACGATTTCGTTGATTTCGTCCGATAATAACCTTAAAGCAACAGCTGAGAGC